CTTTTTTGTAAAGGTACACTCTTTTTTGTAAAGGTACGCTCTTTTTTGTAAAGGTACACTCTTTTTTGTAAAGGTACACTCTTTTTTGTAAAGGTACGCTCTTTTTTGTAAAGTTATGCTCTTTTTTAAGGTACCCTCTTTTTTTTAAGGTATGCTCCTTTTTTTAAAGGTACGCTCCTTTTTTTAAAGGTAACCTCGTTTTTTAAGGTACTTTCCTTTTTTTAAAGGTATGCTCCTTTTTTTAAAGGTACGCTCCTTTTTTTAAAGGTAACCTCGTTTTTTAAGGTACTCTCCTTTTTTTAAAGGTACGCTCCTTTTTTTAAAGGTACGCTCCTTTTTTTAAAGGTAACCTCGTTTTTTAAGGTACTTTCCTTTTTTTAAAGGTATGCTCCTTTTTTTAAAGGTACCCTCGTTTTTTAAGGTACTCTCCTTTTTTTAAAGGTACGCTCCTTTTTTAAAGGTACGCTCCTTTTTTTAAAGGTAACCTCGTTTTTTTAAGGTACTTTCCTTTTTTTAAAGGTATGCTCCTTTTTTTAAAGGTACCCTCGTTTTTTAAGGTACTCTCCTTTTTTTAAAGGTACACTCGTGTTCTCTTACTGCAGTAACCACGTATCCTCTCAACTGCTACCTCCTACTTCTCTTCTCTCACTCTTATCCTCTTACTTCTCCTCTCAATCCTTCAGTGTCCATTTTATTGTGGATTTCGTATGAGAAATAGGGGAAGTAGGGGGGGAAGGGGAAAATGAAAGAGGGGAGAACAAGCAAGCCAGAAAGTAGAGGAGAAAATATGGAGAGAATTAGTGAAAGAGATTAAATGGGGAAAATTGTGAGGTAAGAGGAAGAAAAGAGGACAGGAGAAGAGGGAGACTGGTGATAGAAAAGAGGAAGGAGGAAGGAAGAGGGGAAAAAAGAAGATAACGAAGAAGACTAGGGAAGAGAATGAAAGATAACTGGAAATCGGTTCATAGTAAAATACGTGATAATGAGAGATAAGAAACAAAGAATGGGAAGATAAATACATGGATAAGAAAGAGAAGGAATAAAGACCACTTTCTTAAGGAAGGACAATTTCCCTACAGAAGGACCACTTTCTTAAAAAAAAAAACATTTTCTTAAAAAGACAACTTTCTTAAACACTTAAGAAAGGAAGATCACTTTCTTAAGAAAGGGTGAAAGCACTTTTTCCACTGTTTCCCTTAGGGAATTATTTCTGCAGAGAGATTAATAGAAGCGTCTCTCTCAAGCAGGGAGACGCGGTCGAAGTGTGTGTGTGTGTGTGTGTGTGTGTGTGTGTGTGTGTGTGTGTATACTCACCTATTTGTACTTACCTGTTTGTGGTTGCAGGGGTCGATTCAGGTCCTGGCCCCGTCTCTTCACTGATTGCTACTAGGTCCTCTCTCTCCCTGCTCCATGAGCTTTATCATACTCGTCTTAAAACTATGTATGGTTCCTGCCTCCACTACGTCACTTTCTAGGCTATTCCACGGCCTGACTACTCTATGACTGAAGAAATACTTCCTAACATCCCTTTGACTCACAGGAGTCTTCAACTTCCAATTGTGAACCCTTGTTTCTGTGTCCCATCTCTGGAACATCCTGTCTTTGTCCACCTTGTTAATTCCTCGCAGTATTTTATGTGTTGTTATCATGTCTCCCCTAACCCTCCTGTCCTCCAGTGTCGTCAGGCCAATTTCCTTTAATCTTTCTTCGTAGGACAATCCCCGTAGCTCTGAGACTAATCTTGTTGTGAACCTTTGCACTTTCTCAAATTTCTTGACTTTTTTGACCAGGGTGTGGGTTCCAAATTGGTGCTGCATACTCCAATATGGGCCTGACGTATATGGTGTACAGTGTCTTGAGCGATTCCTTAATTAGATATCGGAACACTATTCTCAGGTTTGCCAGACGCCCGTATGCTGCAGCAGTTATCTGATGTGCGCCTCAGGAGATGTGCTCGGTATTATACTCACCCCAAGATCTTTTTCCTTGAGTGAGGTGTGTGTGTGTGTGTGTGTGTGTGTGTGTGTGTGTGTTTAACTTTAAGGTGCTTGTGCTGCTTAGATGTTTGTCGATGTGTCATGTCGACGGTATGAAGTAAGGGTGTTTGCCTGCGAGGAGTTTGTTCTTAATTTACGGCGAGGGGAGAGAAGCGGGGTGTTTGTTTGCTGCCATTCAGGAACACGTGTGTTTGTAGTAGCTACGACAGCAACTATTCAAGAACATGTGTGTGTTTGTAGCAACTACAACTATCCAAGAACACGTGTGTTTGTAGTAGCTACGACAACAAAAGCCTTCCCAGTTCACTAACTGTACGTTATATGTCACGTGAACAAAGCCAAAGAACAAGAATATCTGTGCTTAATTAAGAACTTATAGTAAAGGTCGTGGGATTAATGTAACCATAGAAGTGTCCAGTGTTGATCAGTGTTGACCAGTGTTGATCAGTGTTGACCAGTGTTGTCCAGTGTTGACCAGTGTTGTCCAGTGTTGATCAGTGTTGACCAGTGTTGATCAGTGTTGACCAGTGTTGATCAGTGTTGACCATTGTTGTCCAATGTTGACCAGTGTTGACCAGTGTTGTCCAGTGTTGACCAGTGTTGTCCAGTGTTGACCAGTGTTGTCCAGTGTTGACCAGTGTTGACCAGTGTTGACCAGTGTTGACCAGTGTTGTCCAGTGTTGACCAGTGTTGACCAGTGTTGACCAGTGTTGACTAGTGTTGTCCAGTGTTGACCAGTGTTGTCCAGTGTTGTCCAGTGTTGACCAGTGTTGACCAGTGTTGACCAGTGTTGACCAGTGTTGACCAGTGTTGACCAGTGTTGACCAGTGTTGATCAGTGTTGACCAGTGTTGATCAGTGTTGACCATTGTTGTCCAGTGTTGACCAGTGTTGACCAGTGTTGTCCAGTGTTGACCAGTGTTGTCCAGTGTTGACCAGTGTTGTCCAGTGTTGACCAGTGTTGACCAGTGTTGACCAGTGTTGTCCAGTGTTGACTAGTGTTGACCAGTGTTGACCAGTGTTGTCCAGTGTTGTCCAGTGTTGACCAGTGTTGTCCAGTGTTGACCAGTGTTGACCAGTGTTGACCAGTGTTGTCCAGTGTTGGGACCAGAAGGTTCCTCTGAGTGGGGAAGAAATGTTGTATGTTGGGAGAAATGTTGTAAGTTTGAGAGAAATGTAAGTTGGGAGAAATGTTGTAAGTTTGGGAGAAATGTTGTAAGTTTGGGAGAAATGTTGTATGTTGGGAGAAATGTTGTAAGTTTGGGAGAAATATTGTAAGTTTGGGAGAAATGTTGTATGTTGGGAGAAATGTTGTATGTTGGGAGAAATGTTGTAAGTTTGAGAGAAATGTAAGTTGGGAGAAATGTTGTAAGTTTGGGAGAAATGTAAGTTTGGGAGAAATGTTGTATGTTGGGAGAAATGTTGTATGTTGGGAGAAATGTTGTTTGTTGGGAGAAATGTTGTAAGTTTGGGAGAAATGTTGTAAGTTTGGGAGAAATGTTGTATGTTGGGAGAAATGTTGTATGTTGGGAGAAATGTTGTATGTTGGGAGAAATATTGTAAGTTTGGGAGAAATGTTGTATGTTGGGAGAAATGTTGTATGTTGGGAGAAATGTTGTATGTTGGGAGAAATATTGTAAGTTTGGGAGAAATGTTGTATGTTGGGAGAAATATTGTAAGTTTGGGAGAAATGTTGTATGTTGGGAGAAATATTGTAAGTTTGGGAGAAATGTTGTATGTTGGGAGAAATGTTGTAAGTTTGGAAAAATGTTGTAAGTTTGTGAGAAATGCTGTATGTTGGGAGAAATGTTGTATGTTGGGAGAAATGTTGTAAGTTTGGGAGAAATGTTGTATGTTGGGAGAAATGTTGTATGTTGGGAGAAATGTTGTATGTTGGGAGAAATGTTGTATGTTGGGAGAAATGTTGTATGTTGGGAGAAATGTTGTAAGTTTGAGAAAAGTAACAAGTCAGTAGGAAAACCTCTTATTTTTTGAAAGTTAATCTGAACTTGGGAAAACTTGTAATAAAGTTGGTAGAATTACCGACAATATGTAAAGTAAAAGGACACAAGTGCAACTAATGTGACATTTTATTGTGGCAACGTTTCGCTCTCCAGGAGCTTGACAAAGTTCCTGTAGAGCGAAACGTTGCCACAATAAAATGTCACATTAGTTGCACTTGTGTCCTTTTACTTAACATTGTAAAAACTTCACCTGAACTTGTAAAAACTTCGCCTGAACTTGTAAAAACTTCGCCTGAACTTGTAAAAACTTCGCCTGAACTTGTAAAAACTTCGCCTGAACTTGGGGAAACTTCACCTGAACTTGTAAAAACTTCGCCTGAACTTGTAAAAACTTCGCCTGAACTTGTAAAAACTTCGCCTGAACTTGTAAAAACTTCACCTGAACTTGTAAAAACTTCCACCTGAACTTGTAAAAACTTCGCCTGAACTTGTAAAAACTTCACCTGAACTTGTAAAAACTTCGCCTGAACTTGTAAAAACTTCACCTGAACTTGTAAAAACTTCGCCTGAACTTGTAAAAACTTCGCCTGAACTTGTAAAAACTTCGCCTGAACTTGTAAAAACTTCGCCTGAACTTGGGGAAACTTCACCTGAACGTAGGAGGAAAAAGACCACGTCTTGGTTGTAAATGTTCGTTTGCAAAAATGTTTTGAACACCAGTAATAAGTGTTTAGTGGCATTGTGTGTGTGTGTGTGTGTGTGTGTGTGTGTGTGTGTGGTGTGTGTGTGTGTACTCATAGTTGCAGCGGTCGATTTGCAGCTCCTGGCCCGCCAGGAGCTTTATCGTACCTTATCGCACACAAACCAGGCCAAGTGTCTTAGTGACGAGCGCCTTCGACAAAATGGCAACTAAAACACACACACACACACACACACACACGTACGTGTGTGTGTGTGGTGTGTGTGTGTGTGCTTGTATCCACTTAATGTCTACCCCTTTATCCACTTCATCCCTCTCCATCGTTCCCTATCCACTTGACAGAGAAAAATCTATACCAGGACTGTGCCTTACACAAACTAGCAGTGAAGCATAGCTTGCGCCCACCTGTTCAACACATCCAAATGCGTAGACGGGGATACAAGTGTGAGCGTTCAAATGACGTGCATTCCACGCCCACTTGCGTAAACACCCGCCCGTGGCGGTAAAAGGCGGTGTGTGGGCGTGGGGAGAGTGAAAGAAGACAGTGGGCGTGTGTGGGAGAGAGAGCACGTGGGAGTGGACACATGATGCTCCCATGGACGTCATATGGTACCCCTCCCTTCGATGTACCACCAGACTGGTAAGCTACCATTACTACCATAGGGAAGCGCTAAGCCTGTACGGGCCACGCAGCATATAGGGAAATTAGAAAGGCAATCAGGTATAACCCAGTGGAAAGCAATCAGATATAACCCAGTGGAAAGCAATCAGATATAACCCAGTAGAAAGCAATCAGATATATCCTAAGAGGGACTCCAATTCCTCGAATGTAGAGCCCCCTGACCAGCATCAAGGCACATCTGCCCTCCCATTGATGGCTACCATGGACACTACCATTAAAAGTCCCTTTCATTTCAATCACTGCCTACCATACCATAGTTGCTACCATTTCCCCAGGGAAGGGCTTCTGATCCAAGGCATTCGATCAAATCTGATTACCTCTTGTTTTCCCAGGCATTGTATGTCCCCTACGGATTTAGCGCTCCCCATGCGTATGACTGTAATATAACCAATATACTCATAACCGTAAGTATATACGCTAAGTATAACATAGACGTATTGTGCAGGTATTTTAACCACATTACAAGTTTAATATGTGTATCCACTGAACTAAAAAAAAAAATCACGGTAAATGATTTTTAATTCGTGTAAGTTTACGAGATATAACCATTTACATATTATCCTTCAGATGTAACCATTAAAATATAACGACTGTAATCACTATAGAGTTCAAGTGTACATATATCTCTTACGGAAAATATGTCGGGGGTCTGACTACAAGTGTTGATACAGGTGGTCGGTCGGTGGTGGTGATGTGTGTGTGTGTAGCTTATGTTCTTTCAGTAATACGGTATGATTTATATACTTTACACAGCTGTATACATATATATGTATATATATATATATATATATATATATATATATATATATATATATATATATATATATATATATATATCAATAACACTGCGCTAGCCAAGGATTCGAACCCATGTTGTACTGGCCTGCCTCATGGTAAGCGAGAACCACATGACGCTTTAAACCACAGGACCACCCAACCTTACCCTGTGGTTTAAAGCGTCATGTGGTTCTCGCTTACCATGAGGCAGGCCAGTACAACATGGGTTCGAATCCTTGGCTAGCGCAGTGCTGTTATTGATATATATATGTATAACACCTACAAGCCACGTGTCTATCCACCATTTTCACAGCACTGTTTCTCTCTCTCTCTCTCTCTCTCTCTCTCTCTCTTCACCATTTATTATTTAATCATTATATAATGTACGTAAGCACGTGTTCAGAATCATTCATTTATCCAAGATAAATGTGTTTCTGTATTTATTAATTCAAGTGGTAGGTTCATCTTCACCTTGTATGCTTCACACTCACTGCTCCTTCACGCTCTCCACAAATTTTTTATACTCTTCGGCTGTCACTTTAATGCAGTTATTCCTTGCAAGACATTCATTTTTAAGCATTACCGAGGTTTTGAGGGCCTGACCAACTCTTGACTAGACTGACTAAGCTACTAGTTGGCGAAATGTTCCCTCGATAAAGATACCGAAGTGTTGCACCATTGTCTTAATTCAGCATCCTCGACCTACCTGGAGGTTTTCCGGGGGTCAACGTGTCAGCATAGTTGCTGAATCCCCTTACATGTGTTGTATAGATTAGCTGAGCATTATAGTATCATCCATGTATTTACATAGAAGATCCCTAGGCCGAGTGACTGTGTGACGTCACGGGATGCACATGTGTACGTACATACCTCTGCCTCCTTCTCAGTCGGCAGATAGACACCCAGGCAGTGACACGGCAGGTTGGGCTCCATCTCCCATTACCACAGTCTGACATTATAGCGTTACCATCCAACAAGTGTGTCTATCTTCAACCCTCAATATCTCCTTTTAAGAACCCCTACGACAATTGGTGGCAGCGGTGGGATTGAACTCTTGGATAGTCAAGGTCCATCTGGCTAACCTTCCAGTAGGTTGTTTATTCTGGAATAAAGGTATCAGTGGTGCATGGTCTGTCAAGACATGAACAGGGTACTGGTAAATAATGTCTCGGAAGTGCTTTAAAGACCATACTATTGCTAAAGCTTCTTGCTCCGTTACTGTATAATTACGTTCAGCCTTCGTAAGGACTCGGCTAGCAAATGCAACTGCGTTGTACTTGCCATCAGTCTTCTGAGCTAGTACGGCACCTATGCCAATTGAACTAGCATCCGTTGTCAGATAGAAAGGCTTAGAAAAATCTGGAAATTTCAAAACAGGAGCGGACGTTAGCTTTTCTTTTAGTGTCTGGAATGCTCTTTCTTGACGGAAGGTCCAAACAAAAGGAGCATCTTTCTTAAGCAATTCAGTTAGAGGAGCTGCTATTGAAGAAAAATTTGCAATGAAAGATCTGTAGAAACCTGCTAGACCCACAAAGGATCTTACAGCATCAGCAGTTTTGGGAGTTGGAAAATTTAGTACTGCCATTACTTTGATCAGTCGTAACCCCTCTAGGAGTGACTACGTGACCCAGAAACTTAATTTCTGATCTGAAAAAATGACATTTCGACAGTTTGATCTTTAAATTGACTTCTTCAAGCTTACCAAGTACTATCTCAAGTCTTTTCAGGTGTGTATCCACATCTTCGGACATGACATTACGTCGTCTAAGTACACCATAAGTGCTTTACCTATTAGACCTCTAAAGATATTGGTCATGAGTCTAGAGAACGTGATAGGAGAAGATCGTAATCCAAAAGCCATTCAAAGGAAGTGATAATGACCTGTGGGAGTAGAGAATGCAGTTAACTCTTGGCTGTCCTCGTGAAGAGGGACTTGCCAAAACGCCTTGTAACAAGTCCAGGGTCGAGAAGACTTTATCTCTGATATTGCGTAAAAGATCACCAAGTACAGGAAGTGGGAAGCGATCTGGAATAGTTTTCGCATTTAACTTCCTGAAGTCAATTACCGGGCGCCAAGTACCGTCCTTCTTAGGCACTAGGATCAAGGGTGCATTCCAGGGTGAATTTCTATGTGCAATAACTCCATCATCGAGCATCTGATTGATCAGTTCCTCTGCGACAGCAACTTGGGAATGAGGCATTCTGTACGCAGGTATATAGATAGGTCTAATACCAGGTTCAAGTGGAATACGATGGGACAATAAGTTCGTTATACCCATCTTCTCACCTGGTCAGGCACTGGTAACTCTGTCACTCCCATCTGTGTTCCACCTACACCTTCAGATATGCAAAATAGTGTATTGCCTCAAGTGTCCGAGGACGCTCAGACTGCTTTGAGTGCTCAGCCTATCCCTGCAATGTCTGCTAGTCCAAGTAGTAGTTTCTCCACAGGGGACGCCTTGTCGGAAGACGATTACTCCAGCCTACTCCTTGCCCAGGCCTCTGAAACATTTATCCACATTTTGCAAAGTTGAAAGCTCGGTACCCCAGGGCACGACCCTGGAGCCTTTACTGTTTTTCAGTTTCCATCATTTGCAGATGATACCAAAATAAGCATGAAAATCAGCCCGGTAGAATACACGGGAAAAATTTGCAAATGGTGTTTTATATACCTCTAGCAAGGGTGACTTTGCTGGTTTATATGTTATATTTCTCTGAGTTTGTTTTTGTAGGACGCGAAGTGTTGTAGATGGTAAGGATGGAATTTTTCTTGTCGTTTGTTCTGATGTTTTTTTTTTTGTTTCCTTGCAGACACCGGAGGAGAAGTATGGACGCTTTAAAGGTCTGACCAACGTTATTATGAAGAAGGTAAGTGTGTGTGTGTGTGTGTGTGTGTGTGTGTGTGTGTGTGTGTTGTGTGTGTGTGTGTGTGTGTGTGTGTGTGTGTGTTTTGTCTTGCCTCTCACACTCTCTATTCTCTGACAACACTTTTAAAACCCAACGTGATTAGGCTGTTTAATTTTCTCTCTCTCTCTCCTTTGAAACTTGTCATGATTTTGACCAGCTCTACCTGAGCTCATTACCTTTTGTAAATTCTCATGATTAATGTTTTTAAGATTCATTACCTTTGCAATTATTCATGAGTGTGACCAGCTCTACCTGGAGCTCATTACCTTTGTAACTTGGTCATGATTATGACCAGATCTAGTTCATTACCTTTGTAACTTGCTCAGCTATCAAAACTTTGGAGTCCAGTCCCTGGACCAATTATGTACCTCTGTAATCTTTTGACTACCGCCCACAGGATGGGTATGGGGTGCATAATAAACATATTAAACTAACCTCTCTCTCTCTCTCTCTTCTCTCTCTCTTCTCTCTCTCTCTCTCCTCTTCTCTCTATCTCCTCTCTCTCTCTTCTCTCTCTCTCTCTCTACCACTGTTTCCCATATAACAGTTACAGTAATGGTAACAAAAGCTAACGTTGTGCACCTTGATGGGGACCGCAGCTATTGTTCCACTCAGTAACTATCATATAGAATAAAGAATCGGCAGCACGATGCTGATGTATCCAATTTTCTTTAGCATAAAATGCCTGGCTCTTGATCCAAATAATGAGAGCTACCCTCCACTTCCTCGGATCTAACCTGATTACCTCCCCCCCCCCGCCCCGCCTTCTACGAATTTACCTGATGCCTCATAAATATAAAATAATAATATAATCAACGCTTCTTATTCTAAAACGTCTTATTAACTCTAAAATGTCTTTTTTTACGTCTTATTTCAGAACGTCTTTTTTACGTCTTACTGTAAAATTTTTTTACGTCTTATTCTAAAACATCTTTTTTCCGTCTTAAAAAACGTCGTCTTTTAAGTATCTTATTCACTTTAAAACATCTGTTACGTCATACCCACGTTGTATTCTTTTCGTAGTTAAGCCATAGTTCGAAGAGGATACAGGTGACGTTTCCATCAATCCTGAATCCGTCCTGGTCGAGAACGGGGCGAAATGTCGCCCGGGGATTCCACTCCACACAGTTAATTCGTGTTCCACCCGCGGTATTGTGGATGATTTATTTTTTTCCACTTGATTTCTATCCCCTATCTTTTGTCTACTTGCGTCCTCTATGCCCCTCTTTTTTCCCCTCCACCTCCCCCCCCCCCATTCAGAATTTCCGATCAGTTTGCACTTTCCAATTTTGCCAAAAGGTGCAAAGATCTGACGAAACTTGGTCACCTTTTTTTTTATTCACCTCCCCCCCCCTCCCCCTCCCCCTCCCCCCTCCCCGCCTCTGATGTAATTTCATTTTTACTGGAAATGCCTTTTTGAAGTTGCAATTACTTGTGTGAAAGAAGTTTTGCTCTCACACTTTTCGTATCTTCTTAAAAAAGTGTGTGTGTGTGTGTGTGTGTGTGTGTGTGTGTGTGTGTGTGTGTGTGGTGTGTGTGTGTGTGTGAAACCGAAGGTTTAGTGTTTTTTAAATTCTAGGAAATTCTCCATGGATTTTTTTTATGGATGGTTGACGCAGTATTTCAGCAGCTCTCAGAACGACTGTCAGTCGACAGCCTCGGTAATGTATCGCTACTGATTGGTCCTGTCTGGTACCTCTATGTAACCTTCACCACCATCATAACTACCACCATTACCACCACCATCGCAACCACCATCACCAGGACCACCACCACCTACTTCCGTCACCATATACTATACCCATCGCTATCCATCTCTCTCTCCCTCCCCCTTCCATATCATAACTTTTATAGCCATATCATCACTTCCCATTATAACCTCCCCCCCACTCTCCAGTAGAAGGTAAATGTCTTTGAGCTTGCATATTGAGGTTTGGATGAGGGAGGTCTGGCTTCTAGGTTGGAGTCAGGGAGATGAGTTGACAGCACCTGGTCACCCATGAGCACCCATCCAAGTGCTCGCCACCACTTAGGTGTGGGCTCCTGCACCCCCCTGCTCACCCATCCATGTACTTGCCACCACCTGGATGTCAGCACCTGCTGACTTCCAGGCGTGGGGGTTCGTCAGGAGATATTTGGAGTAAGAAATATACACGTTGGATGTTTTGGAGGTGTATAATTAAGAGAATCTTGAGGGAAGTCCAGGCCTGCCTTGTCCAGTCAGCCATGCCTAGCGAGGAAACAGTGAGCGCCGAGCCTCTGGCTCACGTGCGAGGGATCTCGTGACGTCACGGCTAGAAGAGACGTTTACTATAAAGTACTTAAGATGATCTAAGTGCACCACACAAGTAACACTGTTGATAACCCATGGTCACCCATCCAAGTGCTCACCACCACCTGGGTCTGCAGGGTGACAGGCAGGGTCACGGAACTTTCAGTCCAGGGGAAGTGTGGAGTAGAGAGCTGGTGCAGGATGAGCTGTAGCTCTTGGTGCCACATAGAGGCAGTTTCCTAATTCATTGAGGCTCTAGCTCTTGGTCCTCGAGTTATACTTTACAGATTCTTTATTTTGTAAACAGTAAATTATCATCCCTTATAGACATTCCTCTTTTTCTATCAGTAAAGGTTAAAATCTTTTTAATATTTAGGAAATATGAGTCTTATAGTCTACCAGCACTCTCTCCATTCCTCCTTCTCTCTTCATTATTTTTTTATCCTTCCCTCCCATTCTTTTTCCTCTTTCCTTCACATCCCCCCCTCCTATTTCTGCCTTCCTCTCTTTTTCCTCCACTACCACCCCTCCTTTTTCCTCTCTTCCCTCTCCCTCTCTTCCTTCCCTCCCCCTCTCTTCCTACCCTGCCCCTCTCTTCCTTCCTCTTTTCCTTCTTCCTTCCCTCCGTCATCTTTGTTCCATCTCTCCATCCTCTCCAGCTTTCCTTTTCCTTTCTCATACTTCATAGGTAAATCACCTTAGCCACTCTGGCTGGCTTCTCACGACTCTCTCCCTGAAGGCAAGTGTTGCTCTGGCCAGGGAAGACTGCTGACCTAAATTATGATGTATATAGTGATGTAGTGTATACGGATTGTGTGGTGCTGGTGGTGTGGTTTGTGGTGCTATATAATGGTGGTACTGGTGTTATGCTGAGGGTGTGTGGTGGTGGTGTATAATGGTGGTGCTGGCGGTGTGTGTGGTGTTTGGTGCTGGTGGTTGTGCTGGTGATGTATGATGGTGGTGCTGGTGGTGGTATGTGATGGTGGTGCTGGTGGTGGTATGTGATGGTGGTGCTGGTGGTGGTATGTGATGGAGGTATGTGATGATGCTAGTAGTGGTATGTGATGGTGGTGGTGGTGGTATATGATGGTATGTGATGATGCTAGTAGTCGTGTGTGATGGTGGTGCTGGTGGTAGTATATGATGTTAAACACATTGCATAGTGTTGCTTGTGTTAGGGCTTTTGTTCATTATGGATTTAGCATTAATATCGATTACTATTATTGACTCCTCTCCTTCTATCTAATCTCTCTTTCTTGAATACAAACAACATTTACCACGATATCTAAAGAAGGAACTCGGCCATATAATAATAATAATAATAATAATAATAATAATAATAATAATAATAATATGAAATCATTATAGTGTGTGTTGTTGGTGCCTGAGAGAGAGAGAGAGAGCAACACAGGTGTGTTGTGTTGTTGGTACCTGAGAGAGAGAGCAACACACAGGTGTGTTGTGTTGTTGGTACCTGAGAGAGAGAGAGAGCAACACAGGTGTGTTGTGTTGTTGGTGCCTGAGAGAGAGAGAGAGAGCAACACAGGTGTGTTGTGTTGTTGGTGCCTGAGAGAGAGAGAGAGAGCAACACAGGTGTGTTGTGTTGTTGGTACCTGAGAGAGAGAGCAACACACAGGTGTGTTGTGTTGTTGGTACCTGAGAGAGAGAGAGAGCAACACAGGTGTGTTTGTGTTGTTGGTGCCTGAGAGAGAGAGAAGAGCAACACAGGTGTGTTGTGTTGTTGGTGCCTGAGAGAGAGAGAGAGAGCAACACAGGTGTGTTGTGTTGTTGGTGCCTGAGAGAGAGAGAGAGAGCAACACAGGTGTGTTGTGTTGTTGGTGCCTGAGAGAGAGAGAGAGAGCAACACAGGTGTGTTGTGTTGTTGGTGCCTGAGAGAGAGAGAGAGAGCAACACAGGTGTGTTGTGTTGTTGGTGCCTGAGAGAGAGAGAGAGCAACACAGGTGTGTTGTGTTGTTGGTGCCTGAGAGAGAGAGAGAGCAACCACAGGTGTGTTGTGTTGTTGGGTGCCTGAGAGAGAGAGAGAGCAACACAGGTGTGTTGTGTTGTTGGTGCCTGAGAGAGAGAGAGAGAGCAACACAGGTGTGTTGTGTTGTTGGTGCCTGAGAGAGAGAGAGAGCAACACAGGTGTGTTGTGTTGTTGGTGCCTGAGAGAGAGAGAGAGCAACACAGGTGTGTTGTGTTGTTGGTGCCTGAGAGAGAGAGCAACACACAGGTGTGTTGTGTTGTTGGTGCCTGAGAGAGAGAGAGAGCAACACAGGTGTGTTGTGTTGTTGGTACCTGAGAGAGAGAGAGAGAGCAACACAGGTGTGTTGTGTTGTTGGTACCTGAGAGAGAGAGAGAGAGCAACACAGGTGTGTTGTGTTGTTGGTACCTGAGAGAGAGAGAGAGAGCAACACAGGTGTGTTGTGTTGTTGGTACCTGAGAGAGAGAGAGAGAGCAACACAGGTGTGTTGTGTTGTTGGTACCTGAGAGAGAGAGCAACACACAGGTGTGTTGTGTTGTTGGTACCTGAGAGAGAGAGAGAGAGCAACACAGGTGTGTTGTGTTGTTGGTGCCTGAGAGAGAGAGAGCAACACAGGTGTGTTGTGTTGTTGGTACCTGAGAGAGAGAGAGCACACAGGTGTGTTGTGTTGTTGGTACCTGAGAGAGAGAGCAACACAGGTGTGTT